ACACACATAGAGTTATTTACACCCCCCCAAGATATCATAATGTATATGCAGTTTGGGAACCTGCTGACTTCACACCCCGTTGTATCGTGAAAACCTAACTTCTGGTAGCCGTGTGCTCCCTATTCCTTAAGAGGCAGACACCACGGCTTATTTAGTCTTTCCTTAAAGTTGACTGTTTTCATAAATAACATTTCCAGGAGCAAACCTACTAGCTTGCAAAGTCTCATTTCTGATCATTTTCTTAGGCTACGTTCTTAACAAGGACAGAAGATAAACAATTTGCAAGTTGCTGTCCAGAAAAATGCGCATGCGCACTCAGCTAGCGCTGGCTTCCCATCCTCACTAGCACCAGCATTATTTTTAGTGTTTTCACTTTGGCAATTTGCTAAACTCGCCGAGTGCCATTGCCAGTGCTAAGCATTATGTAATGTAATCCTCACATACACCTCCTGGAGGGGCACTCGTTTTACTGATGAAGTGGGCTGAGAATACTCTCCTCACCCCCAGGGTCTGAGGCGCTAGAAGGTAGGGGAGCCATGATTCAATCCCAGTCTTCAACACAGGCGCCGAAAATCAGGGTGCATACCTGTTTAATCTGAAGGCCACCATGCCCCCCTGCCAGAATGCGTTTTGTTTTTTGTTTGTTTGATTTTTTTTTGTTGTTTTTTTTTTTTGTTTTGTGTTTTTGAGACAGGGTCTCCCTGTAGCCCCAGCCGGCCTAGAGCTCGCTTAGATCAGGCTGACCTTGAACTCAGAAATCCACCACCTTCTGCCTCCCGAGTGCTGGGATTAAGGCATGCACCACCACACTCAGCCAGAATGTATTTTTAAAATATTTTCTTTATTATTTTTATTTTATGTGTATGAGTATATTGCCTGCGTGCACACGTGTCGTGCGTTGCCTCGGAGGTCAGAAGAGGGCTTCAGATTCCCCTGGAACTGAAGTTAAGGACAGCTTGTAGCTGCTATGTGGTTGCTGGGAATGGAACCCAGGTCCTCTGCAAGAGCAGTCAGTGCTCTTAACCGCTGAGTCATCTCTCCAGGCCCCAGAATGCTTCTTTTTTTTTTTTTTTTGAGACAGGGTCTCCCTGTAGCTCCAGCTGCTTGGAACTCACTCTGTAGACCAGACTGGCCTCGAACTCACAGAGGATCCGCCTGTCTCTGCCTCCCGAGTGCTGGGATTAAAGGAGGACGCCACCACGCCCGGCTCCAGAATGCATTTTTAAAGACTTGTTTTTATTATTATTTTTAATTTTGTTAATTTATTTTTATTTTATGTGTATGAGTGTTTTGCCTGCATGTGTGTTAATTGCACCCACGCATGCAATGCCCAGGGAGACCAGAAGAGAGCTGCCTCCAGGATGTGCCAGCTCCTGCCCAACAGGTCCAGGGGTTGTTAAGACACCTCTGACACCTGCTCTGGCTGCAGTTGCAATGGTCCAGAGCTTGAGGACAGCGCTTGTCACCTGACTGCAGTGATTTGTTGTGGTTGTTTGGCGTCCGAGGTCCCTAGCGCCACCGTGTGGCCCTGTCCTCATACAGACAGGCTCCAAAAAAGGGGATGCTCCGGAGGAGAACAGACATGAGGTGCCTGGATAAAGGAGATAGTGAGGGAGTGCTTGACAGGACGGTTTTAGGGGCAGGATGAGAGCCATTAAAAAAAATACATAAATACATAAATAAATAAATAAAATAAATAAATAAATAAATAAATAAATAAATAAATAAATAAATGCCATTCGGAGCCTCAATCCAGCGACACAGAAGCCTGAGTAACCTGGAGGTGCCCCTACATGACTGTGAGGATCTGCTAGACATCTCCCAGGTCAGTCACCGGGACCTAGGAGGCACCCCCTCACCTGAGGCAGATGCCAACTTGTTCATGGATGAAACCACTTTCGTGACAGAGGGGACCCAGAAGGCTGGAGCTTCTATGACCACTTAAGGGGATGTCATCTGGGCCCAAGCCTTGCCCCAGGGCACTTCTGCACAAAAGGCTGAACTGATCACTCTATGTTGGGAAAAGGATAAATGGGTGAACTTCTTCACAGACAGCAGATGAGTCTTTGTCACCCTTTCATGTCCATGCCATGATCTACAAGGAAAGAGGACTCTGACACTCCCATGGCAGAAGGTCAAGTGGCCCAGTGGGCTGCCAGGCTCCCTGTTGAGCCACTCCTGCCCCAGAAAATGGAAAAGGACCCCACAGCATGATGGACTATGTCAGACTTCAGAATCATCTTTCCTGCAGCCTTGGATGCCTCCTTGTGGACCAGCCTCATCAGACAACTCACTTGGGTACCACCAAACTGACTGAACTACTTTCTGGTATTGTGGACACATTCTCTGATTGGATGGAGGCCTTTCTCTCACAATGGTAAAAAGTCTCCTACATGAGATAATTCCTAGGTTTGGGCTGCCTCTGTCAATTGGCTCAGATAATGCTAAATTAATCGTAGAGACCCATGAAAACTGGCCCAACCTCCTGTCCTGGATATATTAGATATATTCCCTGTAAGATGGGTTGCATTCCATATAAGATTATGTTCAGGGGGCTGGAGAGATGGCTCAGTGGTTAAGAGCACTGGCTGTTCTTGCAGAAGACCCGGGTTCAAATCCCAGCACCCACATGGCAGCTAACTCCAGTTCCAGGGGATCTGACACCCTCCTCTGTCCTCCTCTGTATGATAATAGTGCTTTTTTAAAATTCAGACTCCCTATTAAATTGAGAAATTTAAGACAAAAATCAAATGGCAAGTGACAAAAATGCAAAATATGAAATAAAATATGTACTGGGTGAGAGTAACACAGCTTATTAACGACTACAGAAGAAAAAGTCAGAAAGTCACAGACACAGGAAAAGGAACTACAGTACAATGAAACAGAGAGAACGACGATGCAGAAAAAGGACTGATGGGAAATCGAGGTCAAGGAGGAGAAGAAGAGAGCAGGTGGTATTTGACGAAATTTTAGCTACATTTAAAAAAATATTTTTATTATTTTTATTTTATGTGTATTTGTGTATTGCCTGCATGTAAATGCACCTGTGTCATGCAATGCCCTCAGAGGACAGAAGAGGTTGTTGGAGTCCCTGGAATTGGAGTTACTGACAATTGTTAGCTGCCATGAGGGTGCTGGGATGTGAACCTAGGTCTTCTGCAAGAACAACCAGTGTTCTTAATCTCTGAGCCATCTTTCCAGCCACCCAATTTTTTTTTAAGGATTATTTTCAGAAGGCTGCCTTCCCTACTGCCTAAAATAAGGGACCCTATTCTGAAAAATCATTGGTCAGTATCTCTTAAAGTATCTCCAGTCTCTGGGCTGGAGAGATGGCTCAGCAGTTAAGAGCACTGACTGCTCTTACAGAGGACCCCGGTTCAATTCCCATCACCCACAAGGCGGCTACAAACTGTCCTTAACTCCAGTTCCAGGGGAATCCGAAGCCCTCTTCTGACCTCTGTGGCACTGCACTACACGGGTGCTCTCAGATACATGCAGGCAATACACTCATACACATAAAATATTAAATAAAATATTTTTTAAAAAGTATCTCCAGTCTCTTCAACAAGTTCATTCTAACATCTGAGACATCGTCCTGGTTCCTTCCTCTACACCTGCCACCGGTTCTCAAAGGAGAGACCAGTAGTTAGTTCCTTGTTCCATTGCTGGTTTGATTGGAATCCGTGACCGACTACCTTGTTTCTAGGCCTAACAATACCTCTGTCCTTCTTCTCCTCCTGGGTCCAATGATTGGTTCTTGCCTAATTAACTGGTTATTACCCTATTCTGAAAAATTATAGTCCATTAGCCTCCGTCAAATTAATTTCCCCGAGAGCCTAGTGTGCTGTGAAGTGAGATTATTGAGTCAGCACTTTGACTCGGCCCTAAGGCCATGGTGGAGTGAAATGTCAAAACAATGCCATTTTGTTCTAGCTGACTTTTGTTTTACCTTATCTGTGTGTTTTGTTGCTTTTTTTTTTTTTTTTTTGGTCTTTTTTGAGACAGGGGCTCCCTGCAGCCCCAGCTGGCCTGGAACTCACTATGTAGACCAGGCTGGCCTCGAATTCACAGATGCCCCTGCCTCTGCCTCCCCAGTGCTGGGACTAAAGGTGTGTGCCAAGATACTGGGCCTAAAAAATAAAATTTATTTTTTTATTTATGGTTTTTTTTTTTTTTTTTTGGTCTTTTTTGAGACAGGGGCTCCCTGCAGCCCCAGCTGGCCTGGAACTCACTATGTAGACCAGGCTGGCCTTGAACTCACAGAGATACGCCTGCCTCTGCCTCCCAAGTGCTGGGATTAAAGGCGTGCACCACCACGCCTGGCATAAAATTTATTTTTTAACGTGTATGAGTTTTATGCCTGCATGTATGTAAGTACACTCGAGTAGTAGAGTGCGGGAGGAGGTCAGAAGAGGGCCTCGGAGGCCCTGGAACAGGAGTTACGGGTTGTTAGCTTAGCTACCATGTGGGTGCTGAGAGTTGAACCCGGGTCCCCTGCAAGAGCAGCCAGTGCGCTTAACCGCTGAGCCATCTCTCCAGCCCCTAAAACAGAAAAATTTAAAACATAACTGAAGCGCCTCCTAGGCCAATTCTAATATAAATATATCAATCATCAATCAATCATTCAATCAATCAAATCAATCATCAATCAATCGATCACTTTCAATGGGCTCTAGGGGGCAAGCTCCTGCAAGCGGTGGGACCTTGGCCGCCCCCTGGAGGGCTGCACGCGGGCTCCGGATAGCTGGACCGCGGTGGACACGATCCCTCCTGGAAGTCCCTTGCCATGTGCCTGGTGGACAACAGACTGCGCCGCCGGGGCCAGGGATGGAGAGTCCGCGCCGCCCAGCGCCGCCCAGCCCAGCTGCCTAGCCGCGGGAGCCGTCGCACACCCACCGCGTGGCCGCTGGAGGCCACTTCTGCAGTCCCGGGCAGCCGCAGTGGGACCTCCGGTCCTCCAGAGGGCGCTGCCCGGAACCTGGCCCGGCCTTCCGAACGTCCAGGCCGCCGCTGAGTCTTGGGCAGGTCCGGAACCCGCGAGGCCCAGCCACCAGGTTCGCGTGTGGCTTTCGCTCCCGTGGCCTTCGTGGGGTGACAGGATTGCTGAAAGGCGAGGGAGGAGCCTGCGCGGTGCCCTCCGTGGAAGCCACTCGGGGAGGCGAGGTGTCGGGGCTGGGACTAGGGAGGGGGCCCTGTAGGGTTCGGGGTTACTTGCAGCTAGGCTGCACCTTTTGTGCGCAGGCGAGGCCAGAGGATCTGATGTGTGTGATGTGCAGAGGAAGCAGGTGGAGGAATAAAGGGCGATGGAGGGGCCTGGGGATGTACTAGAGTTTAGGGAAGCTTTCCCTGCTCAGGGGTCACCAAGGAAAGTTGAAGGCTGCGGGGCGGGGGGGGGCGTGTGCTGATGCTATTGGCACTACATAAGGAGAGGGGGACGGTATAGAATAAAGGGAGAGGGGTGTGAGTGGGGAGGTGCTGGCACCAGGAAGTGGCAGACGGCGGGGGGTGGGGGAGGTGTGACTTGGGGTTTAAAGGATGGAACCGCCAAGTGGGGCAGGACCTGGCAAGAGTAGTTTCTATCCTGTTTCCCGACAGGCTTGGCAGCTGGAAGACCCAGGTGCAAATGTGCATGTTCTTGGCAGGGCTGGGAGTGTGTAACGGTGCAGCTCAGCTGGGAGTGTGCAGCTGTGGGTTAGGGAAGAGTGGTTTGGTTGGGGAGAGGAGCTGAACTGACCCATACTTGGGGACCAGACCTTACCCCCTTCCTTTCCTCAGCCATGTTCAACCACCAGCAACAATTCCAACAGCAGCAGCAACAGTTGCAGCAGCTGCAACAGCAGCAGCTCCAGCAACAGCAATTGCAACAGCAGCAGTTGCTGCAGCTTCAGCAGCTGCTCCAGCAGTCCTCACCACAGGCCACTTTGCCCATGCCTGTCAGCCGGTGAGTTTCACGTTTGGGAGGATGGCTGCTCCAGTCTGACACTCAGACTCCATGTTTTGGACCAACCCCCCAGCTCCCCCGACCCCCGTCCCAGCTCCCTCGTCCCCATCCCATCACAGTCCTATTTCCCAAGGGCATCCTTGTTTGAATACTCAAGTCATCGTTCCCGCCCTAGAAGGGATCCTCCATCTGCCGTAGAGAGGGAGAGCAGGGAGATGAAGGGGTCTCAGGTGGATGGAGGGTCTGACTCTCCCAACACCCCTCTGACATGCCCTCCCATCACACAGGGGCCTCCCCCAGCAGATGCCCCAGCAGCAGCTTCTGAATCTCCAGGGCACCCACTCGGCCTCCCTGCTCAATGGCTCCATGTTGCAGAGAGCTTTGCTTCTGCAGCAGTTGCAAGGTATGACAGCTCCCAGCAGCCCTGTTCCACTCAGTCTCACCAAATCCATGCAACCCTCCCCTCCCCTGTCCCCCAGCATCCTGGCTTGCAGATAAGGAGAGCGGGGCTCCACAAAGTCAAAGTCCACACGCTATGACGCTTGCGCTTCAGCCAGTGTTCAGCACATCTCACTCCCACGCAGATTAGATGGCGTTTAGCACATGGCGAAGCTGAGAAGGGCAGTGATTTGCCCTGGGTTGTGCAGCACAAGCACTGACCTAGTCAGACGTAAGCCTGGGCCTCCTAACCACCAGGGTCGTGAATGTTTATCTCTGGCCATGAGTGTGAAGCCAGTGCCCTAGCCTCAGTTTCCCTATGTGAAGAACTGAGACTTCCTTCTGAGCTGCTGCTCCAGACTACTGATAACGCTCAGGGGAGGTCCATCATAAAGAAAAGTTTTTTAAAGAGGGATCATGTGCTCAGTTGCATGGCAGGTAGATGCTGGTAGTCATCACTTGTAGTCCTGCCAGGACCCTGAGTGTGGACAGCTCTGGGAACTGACTTCCAGACGATGGGCAGATGAATGAACAGAGAAAAATCCCAGTGTGTACATGTATACCCCCATTCCCTTTTTATTTTCCCGTTTTGGAGTCACACTTATCACAGTGAAAATAATGTTTAAAACAAAACAAAACTAAAAAATCAAAATGGGCTGGAGAGATGGCTCAGCAGTTAAGAGCGCTTGCAGCTCTTGCAGAGGACATAGGTTCAGTTCTCAGCACCTGTGTCCAGTGACTTACAACCACCTGTGACTCTAGCTCCAGGGAATCTGATACCCTCTTCTGGTCTCTGCACGTATCTGCACACCTGTGACAGACACACACATACACCTAAATAAAGCTGAAAAAATAAGTATTTTTTTAAAAAATCATTTCAAAACAAAACAAGCAAACAAAAAACCATAGTAGGAAAATATTCACTCATCTCCTAAGGAAAGTTGCCAGTCAATATTTTGGTGTTATTTCCTTCTGTGTTTTTTTTTTTTTTTTTCCTAGGCACAAGCTTGGGGAGTTGGGGAGTTGGATATGATTATTGTGATTAGTACAAGTGAGGGGCTGTGTCTTTTATTTTACTTTTTTTTTTGGTTTTTTTGAAGCAGGGTCACCCTGTGGCCCCAGCTGTCCTGGAACTATGTAGACCAGGCTGGCCTCGAACTCACAGAGGATCCGCCTGCCTCAGCCTCCTGAGTGCCGTGATTAAAGGCGTGCGCCACCACACCCAGCTTTTACTTTATTATTTTATTTTACAGTGCTAGGGTTGTTTGTTTTGTTTTTTGTCTGAGACAGGGTCTCCCTGTAGCCGGAGCTGTCCTGGAACTCACTATGTAAACCAGGCTGGCCTTGAACTCACAGAGATCCACCTGCCTCTGCCTCCCAAGTGCTGGGATTAAAGGTGTGCGCCACCATGCCAGGCCCAGTTTTGTTTTTTGAAACTGGTCTCCCTATAGCCCCAACTGGCCTGGAACTCCCTGTGTAGACCAGGCTGGCCTCAATCTCACAGAGATCTGCCTGCCTCTGCTGAGTGCTGAGATTAAAGGTGGGCACACCATCACACCTGCCCGTTCTGTTTTGTTTTGAGACAGGGTCTTACTCTGTAGCCCAGGCTATCCTGGCGCTCACTGTGTAGGCCAGGCTGTTCTTGAACTCACAGTCATCTTCCTGCCTCAGCCTCTAAGTACTTGGATTACAGGCATAAGCCACCACCCCTAGCCAGGGCTTGGGTGTGAATCCAAGTTATTCTTTTCTCCCTGTAGCCTTAGCTGGTCTGTAACTTGTCATGTAGACCAGGCTGAGATTCTCAGCCTGGTTCACAGAGCTCAGATTCAGAGATTCATCTGCCTCTGCCTCCCAAGTGCTGGAATTAAAGGCATGTGGCACCGGGCCTGGCAGATACAGGTTATTATTAATAGCTTTTAAGGTTTCACTAGAGGGATATGCCCTTACTTACCTAAACCTTGTCAGTAATTTATCTGTTTCCATTTTGTCTTTTCGCTTTCTCTTTGCTATCTTAAATAACTTTGGAATGAATATGATGTTGAGTCTCTTCTTAGATTAAATTCCAAAGCAGAATGACTGAGTTGGGGTGCGGGGATGGCTATTTGATGGCTTTTCATAAGTATTGCCAAATTGCTTTCCTAAAGGACTGGACCAGTTTGCAATGCCACCAGCCACGTATGACAGTGCCGGCCTCACCATGCCCACAGCAACTTTGGGTATTATATGTTTTTATCTATATGTCTGCAGATGTAGATGTACATATCATTTACTGAGTTGGCTGGCAAGAAACCAAGCTGTGTCATTAATGTTTTAATTTGCATTTCCCAGTGCTTGTGCTACTCACCATTTTTGCATCTATATGTTAAACATTGGCATCTTTGTGAGCTGTCCGTGTCCTTCGTCTCTTGTTGGAAGGTGTTCCATCTTTTGCCCTATTGTTTCTAAGAGCTTGCGTTGTCCGTCTGCACGTATGTGTATGTGTATTTGTCGTAAGTTGTTTGGGGACTGGAGAGATGGCTTAGCAGTTAAGAGCACTGGCCTGCTCTTGCAGAGGACCCAGGTTTGGTTCCCAGCACCCAACATTTACACATAAAATAAAAATAAATTATTTGGGGCTTGAGAGATGGCTCAGCTATTAAGAGCACTGACTGCTCTTGCAGAAGACCTGGGTTTGATTCCCAGCACCCACATGGCAGCTATGAACCATCCTTAACTCCAGTTCCAGGGAAAT